GATTCCCCCGTAGTGCAATGGTTTGACACGCAGTCTAACGCTAATGCTTCCACAACTGCCCGCATATATTCCCTGTTTTCACATACAGTTTTTGAATGTCCCTCGCTGAGTGCGTTGGTGATTTTGGAGCCACTCTCTTTCCTTACTTTAAATTCAGACCATGCATCCATGGCACATTTATGTCCACTGCTCACATCATGTGTAAGGAATGACTGCGTAGCTTTAACCCAGGTGCTAAATCCGTCATGGGTAAAGGCGGTTTCTTTATGGAACCGGCGTCCTTCGTGAGCAAAATGCCTGCAGGCAAAACAAAATACACCGTCCATAGTCACTCAGTACTCGAGCCAAGTGTATTGCTCGTACCATCGGCGATTGAATGACCGCATTTGCAGTCCGTACTTCTTGGTCGGGTATTTTCTAAGCATGGGACGTCTTGGTCCATCAGAGGCTGACTGGCTGATGTCAATTACGGTGTGGAGGGGTCGGGGAGCAGCGCTAGCTCCGCTGGTTCCACTGCAGCTCGCCGTAGCAGCTAGCTGTTCCTGCTGCTGCGGGGGCAGTGGGTCAGTTGGCGGGGCCGGGGGCACCTGTTCTTCGTGGTCCCAATCCTCCCGGTTATCATTAGTAATAGTAACATCGAGATCCTTGTGGATAGTAGGGTTGTCCGGCTGGACCGGCTCCGTTTGAGATCGCGGTCGTTTTCGCTGGCTTGTTAGAAATGTTTCCATTTTCGATCTGTGTGTTCACTTCACATACTGAGAATTCGCGCTTTAACTTACAAAGACCCCAGAAAGATCTCGCGAGAATGTGTAAATATATTTAGATACATTTTTTTCATTACAAAACAATGGGGTTGCTAAGCCGTTGCTAGGCCAATTCCTGGAGTTGCTATAGCAACTGCCAGCAACCCCCTGGCGCCGCCCCTGCACAGAGCCGTTTGCCCCCCCAGAGCATTCAATTTGCAGATGTATCCACCTTGGGACCCGTTATTGTTTGCGGGGTCCGTTTCTATCGTTTTGTTACGGCCTTGTGTAAATGAAAGGGCTATACGCAAGAGAAACTATGCGGATACAACCCGCTTCATCCTCGTGGGGCCTTAGCCTAAGTCACCCTGTGTGAGGCAGGCCACTTAACAGGCCAGGCCATCAGGAAACGCCCCGGTCCTCCCGCTTCCCGGAAATGCATCCGCGGAGGAGCCGTGGAGGAACCATCAGTGTCTCCTCGGTTAGAGCTCCTCCAGAGAGCCTCCTCGATGCTCGGTCCTCGATGGGCATTTAGAGAAATGGACATTTAGATCTCCTTCAACATGGCGTGCTGAAATCCATTTCCGGGTCACTACCGGAGGAGTCGAGGAGGGGAAATTAGAGTATTGAGAAACCTCTAAAGATTCCCTGGGGTTACTAGCCCCAAATGTTCATTAACCAAAAACAAAACACTCAGTTTCAATTAAAAGCAGCGGCAAAAAGATAAGTCTTCAGTCTGGATTTAAAAGTAGTAAGAGTTGCAGTGGACCTGGAGGTTTCTGGGAGAATAACGTATTGTTATTTTAATGTATAAAAAAATAATTAAAATATATATATATATATTTTTTTTTTGGTACCTGCCTGGCAGCGCCGCTGCTGAATGTATATAGGGGAAACACTGACATTAAAGTGTATAAGTCCTCGACTTCTTGCAGGCGAAAGTCGAGGCCATCCATCAGCAGCTCCTGGCGCCTGGTCCTTGTCTATCTGACTGGTTGTCTGACTGCCTTTTGTTTTTGTTATGTTTGCTTTGCCCCTGTTCTTCTTTGTAAAGCGACCTTGGGTCTCATGAAAGGCACTATATAAATCCAAGCTATTATTATTATTATAACTTCCAGCCTTTTCCTGTCTGCCCGCGCTGCTGGTAGAGAGCCGCTTAATGCCTTTACTCTGAGCACCATGCATGGCAATTATTCAGCTTTTTTCCTGATGGTCTCAATAATTTGCTACATTTCTTGTTACAACCCATTTTTAAAATAGAGTCCCTGAGTGGGTCTGAAAAGCGATAAAGTCGCCCACTTGGCAACACTGTGGGACTGGCATTGACAGTAGTTGGTTGAACATAAATAATACATATTTGACCTGCTCAGGTTATATCTATGCATTATTTACATTTTTCTGTTTATTAGACCTGAGGAATTTGAGCTTGTCTTGAAAGTGTTGGATGCCTGCAGACAATTCTAAACAGCAATATTTCTGTGGTTTGTGTTTTTGTGTTCAGAGCCAGCACTGATTGAAGATGATGAGGACAAAGAGGAGCCGGCCCCTCTGTCGCTCCCTAAACCAGCTGCGGTTCCAGGGGCCCAGTCTGCCATCGACCTGACTGCGGAGTTCCTGCACCCGCTGCTGTCCCCTGAGAACGTAGCCAACCTGGTGAGCAGCCTGTTCTCTTATTTCTGTTTGTCCCTTCCTTACTGACTGTGTGACACTTCATGTCATATCTGTCTGGTTGTTTAGGTGCTCATCAGCATGGTGTATCTGCCAGACATCATGCCGGCCTCCTTCCAGGCCACATACACACCTGTGGAGTCAGCGGGCACCGACGCCCAGATCAAACATCTGGCCCGGCTGATGGCCACGCAGATGACTGGAGCTGGCATCGGTCCAGGTTAGCAACAGAGACAGTCAGCAGGAGGGGGCCTTAACATTTCGCCGTTCTGTTTTGAGTAGTTTTTCAACTTAAAGAGATAGATTGACATTTTCTAAAATGCTACTCTACTTTCTTGCTTCATCTTAACTTATTCAAATGTTATATATTTTTTAATGTTCATTTAAAAACTCTTCAAAAGTTATTGTCAGCTCTATAAATAAGTTATAAAACCCTTTGTTAGTGTATGAATATGTCTATTTAAATGTCATATAGTATACGCTAAAATATTGTATTTGATTGGTGTTTTTAAAAATGTATTAATATTGGTATCAGCCAAAAATACCCGCCTTTGAAAAATGTATAAAAAAAAATGTATCTCTTAGGACTGGAGCAGTGCAAAGCCAGAGAAGATGATGCAGGCAAAGACAACGAGGATGAAGCTGGATCCAAAGACCTGCTCATCAAGCGCAAACTTCCTGCTGTGATGGTGGGACAGGCCATCTCTGTGGTGGGGGGTTACGAAAAAGAAAAGGTTCCTGCAGAGGCCCCCGCCACAGTCAAGAGGCTCCCTGAACCCATCGTTCCTACGGCTCAAACCAAGTGAGTCCTGGCCCACATCAAGGGCAGAAGTATTATCAGCTTCCTCTTTGTGCAGGTCCGTCTTATGACCCTGCGTGAATTTGTTCTGTTTCAGAATGACGGGGGCGAGTGGAAGAAAAAAAGTGTTTCGATTGTCAGATGTGGTCCAGCCTTTATCTGACACACAGATCGAAAAGTTAACCTCCAGAGCCGTCAATCGCATCCTGCATTCAGAGAAGGCCATCGCTCAAAGCGGCATGTCGCATGTAAGTAAACACCCCGCTTCATTCCTCATTTCCTTTACGATCATTGATTTGCACTTGAGGTTTATTAAATGGATTGTGGATTGTTTGAAAGTGGGGTTGCATGAACTACTTCAGTCAGTGTACAGTAGATAGGCAGAAGAGAACAAAAAGAATACAAGCAGGAAGGAAATCAGTCAACTGCTTTGGGAACTTATTGAAGACACCTAAAAAATATTCAAGATTCAAAGGTTAATGTCATATGAATAGGGATGGTTATCGAGAACCGGTACTAAGTCAATACCGGTACCTGTCAATTGCGATAGCGCAAGGTGCAATCTATGTACTCAATTAGTTGCTTGTAAAGGGGGTAACACAAGCAACATAATGAAGCATTTGCAAACGAGACACTCATTGAATCTAAAACGGTGCAACACGTATTTGACAATGTGGCTCCTAGCGATACTGCTAGTGCTAATAGTGCTAGCGGACTTCAGCTGGCCGTGTGTAAATGTGACCTGAGCGAAGGCTCGCAGGCAGGTTAGCTGCTGCGCACGGGTAATATGTTTTGTTTACCTGAGTGAAGTCTTGCAGGCACATCGCCTTGTCTTTTTTTAGTTTATTAACACTGACGGTGTATTAATGTGAGCTCCTACACACCTATGATAATGTGGCCTTTCATTGAATGCTTTATAAGCCAGTTAAACTTACAGATGTCATTGTGAATTGGAAAACTGCATTTAAATGTTGTTAAAGGTCAACGTTTCAATGTATGGTTCAGCAATTGTTGGTCGTTTACTAGGAATTGACATATTTTAAGCTCAAATACTTTGTTCTATGTTTAAACCTTCAGACATATTACGACGTGTTTCAGTTCACATGATTTATTTTGTGATGATTTAAAAGTACAATCCAGAATATACGTACTCGCCTTTATATTTTTGCCATCTTAGCCTTTTGACCAATTTCTTCATCACAGTTTTGCATGATGTCATTGTAGGACAATGTTTTAAGGATCCCTTATGACTTATGACTAGGTTGTCAGTTTGAAATGTCTGGATGAAGATGTAACTGATTTACAAATGTTAACATTTTTTTTTTTTTTAAATGCCTCTTTTCTTCCTCTGTCTGAGGGAAAACCCCAAAAAGCATGACAGGGCGAGCCGGGCCCCTTTAAGTTATTTTATTTATTTGTGTCTGCTTCTGAGAAGCTAATGTATAAGTTATACAGTTATTTCTGCAAGAAAATTACAATACAATTACTGTTTAATCTTCACATCTTGTATTCATGTCTATAATTTTGAGCACCAAATTATTGAAAAGTATCGATAAGAGTATCGAAAAATACTAGGGGTGCACCGAATGGGAAATTCTTGGCCGAAACCGATACCGAAAATAGGAAACGGTCGGCCGAAAACCGAATGCCGAAAATGATTAATAGAAATATATATATATATATAATTTATACATTTTTTACCAATGTTGTTCAGCTACCTGATT